TGTGGGGGGGGGGGGGGGGGGGGGGGGGGGGGGTAACCTGTTGGCCGCCGAAAAGATACTTGGGTCCTGCTTGCAAAAACAGCTCAGTGCCCCTCATGGTGGGAGTAGACGAGCCCATCAAGTACTTCATCCGGCACTCCTTCTCGAATCGCCTGTTCTCGGCCAGCCGTCGCGCGACGGTGGCCTTCTCCTTCATGGCCTTGATCTCGTCCTGCCCTCTGTAGCCACCTCGCGTCATGTCCCACGTGAGCGAGCCTGACCCACCACACACACACAGAGAGAGAGAGAGAGAGAGGGAAAGAGGGGGAGAGTGGCGTGTGCTGTGTGTGTCTAAGGGGTCGGCCAGTTACTGGTGAAGGTGTATTTGCATCGTGAGAGGGTCGACTTCCGGTAGGCAGCCAGCAGCGCAGCACTGACAGCCACACAGACACACAAACAGACAGACAGACAGACAGACATCGACGCATCCAAGGACAGGGCGGCTGTGCGCGCGTGTCAGCTCATTTCTTACGCCGACTGGTATCCCGCCTGGCCGCAGTATTTGAAGTCGAACGCCGTCCACTCTTTGGGGTCGCGGGCAGTGTTGTTGACGCGGAACGAAAGGGGCACTGGATGCACGAACGCCACCTGACACACAGACACAGACACAGACACACGTAAGGAGACTACTGACTAGAGCCGGCGGGCTGTCGTCTCGTCAAGAAGGTCACCTCTTCGTGCGCCTCATCGGGGAACCACATCAGCAGCGTCCGACTGATCCGTGAGGCGTCCGTCGACTGGATGTCGGCACGGAGGAAGCCGCCAACTACGCCCATCTGACACACGCACACCCACACGCGTGGCGCGACCCTTCAACCTGTGATTGCCGACCTACCTTGGGGTCCCAGGAGTCGAATTGCGGCCAGACGTTGCCGAACGACTCGGTCAAGACCTCCTCAAGCTCAGCCAACGTACGGTTTACAAACCATTCCTCGCTGCACACACACACACAGAGAGAGAGAGAGAGAGAGAGGCGGGGAGAATATCCATCGCTTGCCTGAGTGCGTGTGTGAGTGTGTGTGTGGTGTGTGTGTGCGTGCATCACCGACCGTGCGTTGAACACGGCCTGCCCAGGTCTCCGTGTGTATGTGATGTGGCCGTCGTCCGTGAGCTGGGTGATGGGGCTGCCGGCAGGAATGGAAGGCTCGTCGCGACTTCCCTCGATCGGCCCAACCTTCACCTCAACCAAATCAGGCGCAGAACGGCCCTCGCGGACCACAGTCACTGCACCCACCACCGACCCACAGCAGCCAGACACACACAGGAAGGACAAGTGCTCGTGCGTCTCTTGTCGCGAGGCTGGCGTGACTGACCTTTCGCATATCTCGGCGGCGGTGTGTCGGTAAGGCCATCGACATACTGCAGCGCCTCGCTCTTCAGCGGGTGGTACAGGGCCACCGCCTCCGGCCCCTCGGCATAGTTGAGCCCGTCGGTGGGATCGTACACGGCAGCCACGCCCATTTCCTTGCCCACATGGGCCAGCACACACTTGATCTCCGCCGGCGACAGCTCGTCAAAGATCACATTGCGGTCTCGGTCTTCCCCGCTCCACACCGCACTGAACACCGGCGGCGGCACCGATGCGCTCGACACGCCCCTCTCGCCGCCCCCCGGTGTGGTGAACGGGATGCTGGGAATCGTCATTGACGAGCCACTGAGTGTGGAAACGGCGTAAGTGACGAGGCTGCCGACCGCCGCGCCCAGCACGATGCAGCCCGCCATGAGCATCCCCGTCCGCAGGCGGCTCTTGCGCTGGATCTGCCCCACCAGCGGCCTGGCCTCCCCCACCATGTGGCCGTCATCCCCCTCCCCAGCCTCCGTCGGCGGCCTCGTTTCTGCGACGCGGGTCATCTCACTGTCGTCGCTCTTGACGCCGTTGTAATGCGCAGCATAGGCTCCCTCGGGCATCCTCCTGTCGGCGATGAGTGGGAGTCGATGCGCAAAGCACTGATGAATAGATCTGCCGACAGTAGTGACTGCTGGTCAGTTGGGGAAGGCGGAATGACGCCGAAGGGGAGGAAATCGGGAGATCTGCACGCTCAGCTCGCAGAATTTTTGAGCTCGCCTTTGTCGAGGCAGAGGAGGTCCGAGGGGCGAAGATGAGTCTGCTCCGGACGCGCAGCAAGACTGTGGCGCGTCTGCCGACGCGCCGGACCTCAAATTATGATCAGCGCCGGCTTGGTAAGCCGCGGGGAGGAGCAGCAGGGAGGGAATGCTCTGTGCATCATATTAGCGAGGCAGGCACCGCACTGGCAGACAGATAGGCTGGGCGTGCACGCGTCCTCCCCTCTCCCTTTCCCCATCGTGTGTTGTGTTGGCTTGTGTGTGTGTTGTGCAGGTCGTTACCCGGTGCCGTCTGAGGACGTGGTGTGGTGGGAGAACCGTTTCCAAGTGCCGGGCGGCCAGTGGGAGCACGTGGTGAGCCCGTTCCAGCTGAAGCTGTGGTTCGACTGGGCCCAGAAGTTCCCCGTCCGCTGGTACAGCCGCCTCAGCGTGTGGTTCTGGCAGTGGACATACCCCGCCATCATCTTCTACGGCGGCTACTTCAAGTGCTGCTACGAGGTCGACCAGTCCATCAAGGCCAAGTTCTGGTACTAATCGACACACATACCGACAGACACGCACATACACAGACAGAGGGAGGGCTCTGTGCATCGGAACGTGGCTCTGGTTTTTTGCTTTTGGCCGTGGCGTGAGAGAGAGGGTGGGGTGGGGTGCCGTCGGAGTGGTGTGTCGTGAGATGGCTGGGTGTCTGGTGTTTCAATGCCCATGTTTGGGCGTGACTGGTTTGTATGGCGCATCGATGTGTGTGGTCAATTTGACCCCGGCGAGCATCGACAACCGTTGCGGTCTGCACCGGCTGCTTCGGCTGACGATGGTGGGCGGCGAAGGATTGACCACCCATGTGACGATGCCTTGGAGTCACACAGATGGAAGTGTGTGTGTCTGTATGCACCCCGTATCACGGCCATCTGTCTGTGGGTGGGATCGGTGGCAAACAGGCTGATCTCGATCATGCGGCTGACTGGCTGGATGTGCGTGAGGTGTTGCCGGCTCGAGACTCTCTGTAGTGAACCAATGGGGAGATGTAGGCGTAGTGGGCCTCTCGTGTATGTCGCTCGATGTGCAAATGTTTGATGCGGACACACGAGCGGTGGATGAAGCGACGCTGTGCGTGGATCAGAAGAAAAGCGCTCCACGTGCGACAGTCTGCGCGCTGAAAATCTCTGCTGCTGCTGCTCCGATCTGCTCGAGAGGGATATCTGATCTTCGGTGACTTTGAGGAGTTGGATGCAGCCCGCAACCGCCCTCGTCTCGCTCTCTTTCTCATGCAAGGCGTCGTGCGTCCCTTGCTGCTGCGGGCATCGTCACTCCGGCAGGAGATCCGCGCAGCCTGCGCAGCCAGGAGGCGCGACGACATCGACGTGCTGCTGGCGGAGGTCATACGAGTCTACACACTCCCCCAGCCCACCACCGACACCACAAGCTCAGCTGCGCGCTCATCGTCAGGACCACCCGAGCTCAATGGCTCATCAGCAGCACCTACTAGTAGTGGCTCTCTCTTGAATGGGTCATTGAGTGTGACCGCTCAACAGCAGCCGACCGCCACTGCGGAGCTGATAGAGATCGTCAAGGACGTGGCGCGTCAGCGGCAGCCCGCCCCACAGTTCTGGAAGTTCGTCACGACAGAGGCCGCGAGGCTCGCTGAAGACGGCAAGAAGGGGCAGAGTCCAGGGGAGAGTCAGGGGGAGGGGGACGGCCTGCTGGCGGCCCTGCAGCTCGTCTACTGGGCCCTGCAGGCCGGGAGTGGGAACGCCCTGAACGCTGAGCTGCCCGAGCTCTACCGCCGGCTGTCCAAGCAGCTCAACACTGACAGCTCCCCTCTGTCGAGGTCGCCCGAGTCGGCCATGTGGCTGCTGCAGGTGTCGTCCATCATCAAGCCGGCGCCCTCGACCGACGCACTGCGTGTGGCGGTTCAGTTCCTGCAGGACCACGTCTACATCTACGACGCGGCGCAGTGTGTGGCGGTGCTGCGGCATTTGTCGTCGATGCAGTGGCCCGCTGTGGAGCTGGTGCAGGCCATGATGCGGCGGCTGGGGGGGATGCTGGACGACCTCCGCCCCTATGACATGGCCTGGTGTGCCTACGCCCTGGCGCACCTGCGGGAGGTCAGCGACACCTTCCTGCACGCGCTGTCCCAGGCCTTTATTGCCCAGATGCACAACACCCGCCCGAGCGACGTGTCCAGGTTTCTGACCGCTTTAACGCGGATGGGTGGCAAGTACGCGATGGAGCTGGGATGGGGGAAGGTGTGCACGGTAGACGCCATCGGTGTCTGTGTGTGTGTTGGGCGGGCTGTTGCAGTGACGAGGGCATCTTGGAGCGTTGTGCTGAGCGGATCTGTGCGTGGGACGTGTCGATGCGTGAGTCGCCTGACGACTGGACCACCCTGACCAGCATCGTCGAGGCTTTCAGCAGGCTCAACTACTCACACATTGCCTTCCTCAGGTACGTCGGTGCATGACACACATCGACCGCAACACACACAGTCACACACAGAGGGACACCTAGGCACCCACGACGCGTGTGTGTGTGCGTGTTGGGTGTGGTTCGTTCGTTGGTTCTGTCTTTCAGTCACGTGATGCCTCATCTGACGCGTCTTGCTGCCGACGTGGACGACGTCAACAAAGTGATGCCGCTGTGGTGCAACGTGTGGCGCCTGGGGGTCAGCGAGCCACTCACACATGACCAGCAGTTGCGGCCATTCGTTGCCTTTGTGTCGTCATGTTTAGGTGTGGGATGGCCCGTTGCGAGGGGCGCTGAGGCGAAGGGCCATGACTGAAGTGGACCAGCTTGACGTGCCTGTGAGCCCACGCAGCCCATCCGATGGTCATCTTCCTGCTTGCTCACGAGTGGGCCTTCATTGTCTCCTCTCAGGGCATGGCCAGGGCGACTGAACTCTGCTACAGCTACTTAGGTACACACACACACGCAAACACAAACACACACAGACACATATAACAAGACGCACCATCGAGCCCCCCTGGCTGTGTCAGGTTTCTCGGACCTGCCTCTGTTTGTGGGTCTGATGCGGTCGACATGGGGCCGCAGCGAGTGGCTCGAGAGGTTCCGTGCGTCCGCCACGCCACAGCCCTACTACGGCCACAACAACAGGGAGCGCAAGGAGCGCGAGGCCCAGGCCAAGAACATATCCATGCTGGGGAACAACACATGGGTGAGAACCGAGCTTATGGGACGAGCTTGCGGGTGTGGATCGAGCCCATCCGAGGCGTTTGTGTATGTGTCATCAGACCGCCTTGCACTGCCTGACGTGTCTGCCGAGCTGCAACGAAGGGCCCAGCAACGGGGCCCTGTGGGAGCAGGCCTCACTCGACGACCTGAGCCGCCTGCAGACGCTGATGGCCGACCTGCCCACCGGCAAAAAGGTGAGAAGGGCGGCAGCTGGGGGAGAGGCGGACAGGTCGAGGGAAATGCAGAGGTGTGTAGGCGTGTGTGTGTGTATTGCTCAACCAAGTCAGGGGGACGATCGTATGAGCTCGACGTTCCACGAAGAGGTCCTCAAGGCCATGCCCCTGCGGCTGCAGCAAGGTGCACACACATACACAACCACAACCACCCACACCCCCGATATGCCTGCCTGCCTGTCTGTCTGGCTGGCTGTGGTCGATCTCTCAGCGACGACAAACGAGGTGCGTGCGTCCAAGTACCTGTTGGACTTGGTGCTCCCTCCCTCAGCGACCACACTTATCCCGCCAGATCCACCCCACACCTCCGCAGAACCTGACGACTATGGCCGATATGACCACAACGAGGTCACCCTCCACTCTGACAGTGAGAGCTTTGAGGGCGATAGCGACGGCGGCAACACCACCACCAGTGGCCGGCAGATTGCGCGTGTCAAGCAGCTGGTGCAGCTGCATCGTGCGGGCATTCTGTCCACCGAGCTGTCACCGTCATGCACGGTGTCCGCCATCGTCATCCCCGACACTGCTGTTGGTGAGTCCAGTGACGACGGCAGCGTGTGGCGCCTGGCGCGTGACAAGCTGCTCACTGCCAAGCCCCCACGGCCCTTTGACACCATCGACGTCCATCGGGGACACATCCAGCGGGCGGTCGTCCGCTACGTGAACAAGGTCATCGCCGTGTTTGAGCTGCGACCGCCTAATCCACACAGACAGCGGCAAAAGAATAACAAGGAGAACAAAGGCGACCAGCGGCAGCCAGAGGGACAAGCTGATCAATCTGACTCAGAGGTCGCCGGCGAGACCAACACAGCCGCAGACACCGAAGAGACAACAGTGGAGGCGCCCGAGCCACAGTCTGAAGAGCCCTCACAGCAGAGTGAGGCTGATGCTGCAGCAGCAGCAGCTGAGGCACGACCTCCCCAGCCCAAGAAGTGGACCTTGAAGGTGCGGCACGACGTCATGTGTGCGCCTGAGCAGCACATGGATTTCTTACAGAGGGAGATGACCAAGAAATGGACGAGAGCACACAACAGAAAAGGCAATACCAGCGACAAAGGACAGCAGCAGCAGGAGCATGACCCTCCGGCAGGCAGCGTGTTGTCTGTGAGTGTTGACCCTCTGTTTGTGCGTGTGCACGTGTGTGAGGGCGACGAGCTCTACGCCAAGTGCGACCTGCTCGTCGACGAGATCACGAAGCCCTCGGGTGGCAGCAAGAAGAGCAAAAAGAAGAGGGGCATGGGCGAGAGTGAGGATGACGGGGGGTCAGATGAGGACACATGATGGAGAGATGGAGTGGCGGACTCTCCCAATGGAATGTGTGTGTCATGTGAATACCGACCAGTCATTGTGTATTTATTTGTGTGCCGTTCATATGGGGCGCCCTCTAGCTAGACGTTCAAGTTAGACATTCAAGACCCCACACAGAGAGACGCAAAGCCGCTGTATATGGCGGTGCGGTGCCCGAAGGAAAGCACTTCTTTCACGTGTGCGTGTGTGTATGTCATGATGCTGTCTGTGTGGTGTTTCCCGGTCTCTGCAACGACGTCTCCTCTTCTACTCCGTTGAGTGCAAGTCCCTCAGTGCGATGGACACCCTACACACACACACACGCACACGCGCACACTCACACACGGCATAGAGTGTCTCCCATCCTCATATGGATGAATCGACACGCACACACATGATGGCTGGTGTTCGTTCCCGTAAGTGACTACTCGGCGGATAGCAACACGCACCCTACCCCACAAGTACACGAAATGAGCCAGCGACACCGACTTCGCTAACCCTCCATGCGTGCGGCGTAGTGGGCGAACTGCGGCAGTCGGAAACGTCGCGCCAACCAGTGTGACAGCAAAACACAAACATACCCGCCCTCCCTCCCCCCATCCTTCCCTCCCAGCCCAGCGCCGAAAAGCGTCGCGTACACGGAAATGGACGCATGTAAGTTGCGGCAGTGACTTGTGACAAACGAATGTGTGTATCGTATCGTGCATCAATCAGTCGTCGGCCATGAGGAGAGCAACACCGGCCAAAATCCACTTCTTGGGGTCCTCGTCGGGGTCCATCCTGACGCACGACGGCACACCAGAGACACACATGAGACACAGCGGGCAATGGATCTCGCGGTGAAGCATACATACCTGAGGTTTGCGGTTGTGACATAGGTGGGTCCTCTCATGGACGTCACATACAGGGGGCAGCGGTACATGCTGTCCCACGACATCTCCTGCACACACACACACAGAGAGAGAGAGAGAGAGACACGAAGGGAAGACAACTCGAGACCTCCCCTTGTTTGTGTTTTGTGTGTGAGAGACCTTGTTGGTGACGGCGAAGACATGGATGACGGGCATGAGTGGGTGCAGTTCCTTGGGCTTGGAATCGACGAGCTGCCCCTCGGACCCCGACTTGCCGTCCTCCCACGCACAGCCCTCCAGGTACAGCCCGTTGATGTACACGCCCTCCTCGGGGCCCGACGACACCTCGTCCGCTGTCTTCATCGACGTCACCGTCCATCTACACACACACAAATGGATGTGCAGGTGCACAAAAATGGGTGGGTGATAGGGGGAGTGGCCAGCTGTTTTGTCTACAGTGTCTGTCACCCAGGCACCGACCTGAGCGTCATGTCGTCGAGTGGGAGTCCGTTCTTTCTGGCCGTCACCTGGGTCACGGCCGTCAGGAACGACATCGGGTTGAACAGGCCTGCCACAAAGAGAGAGAGAGACACACACACTCACTCACATGAGACCTCCCTCCCTGGGTGTGAAAGTGACACGAGAAAGGATCACCTGAGACCCACAGTGACGGCAGGAGGTCGAGAGCGTCGGTCCACGCCACCAGCTGCTTGACGCGCTCCAGGAGGTCGTTGAACCTTCGTATCACTCAACACAGACTCGATACATGATCAAGACGGCCTGTGCCTAGCCCACCATGGGACGAGACTCTTCTTTGAGAAGTAGGCCTTCTTCTCCCAGGTCCCCGGGACTCTGTTGATGACGAGGCTGTTGGACAACTGCTCCATCGCCTCGCTGATGTTGAGCGCGCCCGCCAGACCCAGCTGCAGCTCCGTCAAGCTGAACCGGATCTCGCCCAGCAACTCTGTAGATGGAAACGGACTTTCAGATAATGCTGGGGTGCGATACTGCCGCCCTCGTGTGTTTCTTTATCTGGTCAGGAGCTGACCGTTCATGCGCTCGGCCTCCTGCAGGGAAACGACAATGTACGGCGTGAGTTCCTTGACCTTGCTCTTGATCTCGACGATGTCGAAGTTGTTGGGCAGCCGCCCCAGGAAGTCCTCAATCACGCCCTTGACGATGTCCTCCTTCTTGGTCCCGCCGCCCCCACCGCCACTCCCGCCAGACACGCCCTGAATGGTGTCGAAGATCATCTCACTCTGCTGAGTCAGGTAGCCGATCTCGGCATTCGGGTGAAGGCCGAAGATCTGATGGATGCGGAGAGGAGAGAGGAGACATGGACAGTGCGGAGGGCCTTGGAGGGTGTGTGTGTCTTGTCTACCGGTGGGGACTCGAGAGGGAGCTTCTCTTCGATGTATTTGGCGTATCCGGCGTAGTCGAGTTTGGTCGAGTCGGGAGACTTGAAGTTGGGCCCTGACAAATGCGACCAATGTGGTGTATCCATGCGTCCATGCGTCTGGTGTGGGGGGTGTGTACCGAGATTGAATGTGCCAGAGAAGAGCTCCGGGACGATCAGTGTCTCGAGGTAGGTGTTGTTGGTGCGGCGATCCCAGGCGTCGGTGATGTGGCCGCCGTACATGATCTCGCCGAAAATGTAACGGATGTCCTCATACGGCACCTGGTCATACCTGCGAACACACAGATCGACAGCAGAGACACATCCCATGAACGACTCGAGCTGCCTCTCTCCCCATCTCTCTCTATCTGTATGACTTTTCAAGGTAGTTTCTGAGCACATCTCCGCAGATGGTGAGGTCGCCATCGTTGAACTGGTATGGCCGCGACCAGCCCCAAGTGCCGAACTTCTTGCGTCCCAAAATGAGGGAGTGGAAGAAGCACAGGGCGAACAGCATCGCCTTGAACTCCTTGGGCTTCGACACCGTCTCGAGTTGGGACTGAACAGACACAAAATGGCAGCATAGGTGTGCGTGTGCATCAGGCAGGGATGCTGGATGGCGCCCTTACTGGTGTGAATTTGGAGAACGCTCTTCGGAGGTTGGCCTTGAGGTCCTGCGGTGCCTCGTCGGCTATCTTGATGCACTTCTGGAGGATGCTCTCTGGGATGATCTTCATGTCGGACATGGCGGGGGGCTCTGACGAAACGATGCACCTGAACTCTGGCACACAGTATTCCGTCACCAGCTCCAGGGACCGCTCGAAACTCTGACCACACAAGAGAAGGAGACACATACAAATGACATCACCCGCGCAGGCCATTGATGTGCTCATCACCTTCAGCCATGACTGCATGAGGTGGACGTTCTGTAGCATGACCCAGCCCCCCTCCTTGGCGGCCTTCTCGAGCGCATGCACGGCCACCTTCTCCTGCCCCTGGCCCATACTGATGTTGACGAACTTGCCGTTGGCCTCGGTGCAGCCGACCGACTTGGCTGTCTTCTCGACAGCCGGGGTGGGGTCCACACCGGGGAAGAGCACGAAAAACATGGGGGTGTAGCAGTCGGTCTCCTTGTACGTGGCCTCGATGTCGAAAGGCTGCTGCTCGATGTAGTGGGCGCCCATGGCCTGGTACACGAACTCCTTCAGAGCAGACATCAGGCGGTCCGGCCGGAGGGCCCGCAGGAGGAGTAACCTGTGGAAGTCTCCCAGGCCTCGGAAGGAGCGGGGCAGCTCCGTCACCTCTGCCTTCTCCTCTGAGTACCACCTGGCACAGACAAACAGACAAGCGCGTGCATGGAGAGGAAAGGTGAATATCCTGTCCATGTGCGTGGTGCGTGCTGACTTTCTCCATCCGAGCGAGTCTTGCTCGAGGTTCTGGAGCAGTGCGGCGTTGTTGTTCTTGAAAGCGGACAGCTGCTCGAGGGTCTTGCAGCACCCCCACATGCCCTCGGTCATCCAGGTCTTGCAGTTCTCGGGCATGGGAGGGGCGCTCGGGTCGGGCTTGTTCTGGACCAGCATCGTCACCTCCAGCTCGTCTACCTTGCCCTGCCGCACAAGAATCCTGAACGTCAGCATTGTCGCGATGATCAACTTGTGACGCTCGAATGATCCTATTGACGAGACACAGACGGCAATCCATATGTTGTTGTCAGCTTTGCTGATCAGTCACCTCTTCTGCAGTAGGAGAAGACGAATTTGGTGATGACGTCCAGGAGGGTATCGACTCGTGCCGACAGCTCCTTCCCAGTGAGCTCAACCACCTCTTCCTCAGGCGGAGGCGGCTGAAGTGCCGAGAGCCAATACATGACAACAAATGTGACCGCACCCCTGCGTGAACTTTCGGTTTTTGTTCCCTCACTCTCTCTCTCACCGGGGACGAGCTGCTCGCTCTCGGCGCTTCCTCTTCTTCCTGTTGCTCGGCAGGCGCCTCAGCTTCGCCCTCAGGCTTCTCTCCCTCCTCGTCACCCTTTTCGCCCTCCTCCTTGGCGCCTTCTCCCGCACCCTCCCCGCCCTCACCCTCGCCCTCGCCCTCCTTCTGTTCCTCCTCTTCCGCTTTGGGCGCTTCGGCGGCTTTTGGCGGCTCCTTAGGCTCTTCGGGTGCGGCAGGGATGGGCTGTGGCGATGCGGCACGGCTGGCCTCGGTGTCTGGCTCCTTCTTCTTGATGAGGGCGACCGAGTCGATGGCGCGGTTGACCACCACAACAAAGGCCTCCAGAGAATACATGTAGAACGAATGCATCTTGAACAACTCGCCTGATGACAGAGACAGGCAATGGTGCCGTGATATATGTATGCAGCGGCTCTCTTTGCTTACCGAGAAGGAAGAAGAGGAGCGAGCCTCTGGCAGCGGCAGGGCGATAGTTCTCGGACGCTTCGTTGATCTTCTGCTCGGTCTCCTTTGCGATGGCGACCTTCTCGGCGACCTCCACAGAGATGCGCTTGGTGGTCTCGAGATTCTCAATCAGCTCAACGTCCTCCAATATGTCACCCTGACAAGCAAGGCATGAACGCGTGATCGATGTGCATGAAGGGTTTGGCAATCGTACTTGTGCGTTGGTGAGCTTCTCGAGCAGCGATGCCTCTAGCTCAGCGAGTTTGATTTTGAATTCATTCTGCTGCTGGATGAGCTCAACCTTCTGCCTGGCCAGATCGGGCCGCTCCTTCTTGACCACAAGCGCCAGCAGCTGGTCCTCCAGACCCTGTTCCGTCACCGTGAAGTTGATGATCGTCGTCTCTGCCTGTATCTCTGGCGGGTAGTGAGGGTTCGAGAGTTTGGTGTGGAGGAAGAGCTTGAAGTCGGGCGAGTAGGCGATTTCCTTGTCGCCCAGCTTGATGTACTTGGACCTCCCTCTCTTGATGGTCTGTCTGCCCACCACCGGCGCGAGCACGGCGTCAATGGTCTCGTCCATGTTTTCGATGAGGACGCTCTCGCCCTGGTCGAGAGCGCGCTCCATGGTCTGGATCATCTTGGGGTTGCCCATGCGGGTGACCTGCAGCTTGTGGTCCTTCTCCTTCTCCTTGATCCACGTGACGCCCTGCAGCTGCGGGTCGATGATCAAAGACCAACGCTCGCTGTTGGTCATTATCGCGCCGTTCTCAACAGACACCTGCACCAATGAGAGAGAGACATCGTGTCTCTCTTTCCTGCGTGTCGCTGTTGTGTGTGTTGGCTGGGCACATAACATACCCTGTCTGATGGCAGTCCCTGTGTGTTCCATCTGGCCACTTCGGCGTCGTCAGTGAGGACGCTCAGCGGGTTGGGCGACTCCCCAAGAGGGATGTTCTTGTCCTTCAGGAACCCAAGGAACTTGACGTTTATCAGGTCGTCGCGGTACCTGACCATACACACAGAGAGAGGCACACATTGCGTACCTACCATTCCAGCACAGAGCTATGGCTTCGCTGACTTCTTTGTGAAGACGCCGACATAAGAGACGAAGGCGCTGGCAAGAAGGACCTCGCCAGCCATCACGTGCAGCTGCGCAAGCAACACACACACAGGCACATCAGCAATGATGACAAAGACAAAGACGAGCACAACCTCATCGATGGTGTGTCTGTACCTGGTTTGTCAGGTTCTCGATGGACGCCTGCCACCGGACGTTCTCGCTGCCGAGAGCATTCACGAGTCGCTGTGCGAGGCTCAGCTTCCGCTCGCACTTCTCGGCCTCGGCCACCACCGCGTTCTTCTCGGCAATGGCGGCATCATACTCCGACACCAGCTTGGCGAGTTTGGCCTCCAGGTCAGCTACGAGCGCCTGCACGTCTGCGAGTTTGGCGTTGGCGGCCGCGAGTTTGTCGGTGGCCTCCTTGAGTGCGTTTCTCTTGGGTTCGACCTCCTTCACGACGGAGTAGTACATGTAGATGTTGATGACCCAGTCGGCCAGACCGGCGGCTGCCTTGGACTTCTTGAGAATGGCCTCCTTGTTGAAGTGCTCCAGCTTCAGCAATGGCTCCACCGCCTGAATGAATAAAGGAGACACACACAACGGGGTTGCATTCACAAGCGACTTTTCTCTGTGCTGTGTGTGGTTTGACCTTGAAGTTCTGTTCTGGGACTCTCTGGTCGTCGATGACCTGTTTGAACTCCTTAAGGTTCTGCATGAACTTCTCGGGGTTGTTCATCATCTTCTGCGCCGACTTCCACGACTTGTCCTTGACGCGACCCTGCTTGTCAACATCCACCGTGGGGTCGATGGTCGCCATCAGGTGCATCACGGCGGCAGTGATGTCGTCCACACCCGCTGGCGGCTTGCTCAAGGCCTTGGCCTCTTGGAAATCCTTCTTGTCCAACGTGTCAAGAGCCGCCTCAGCCTGATCAGACAGCAGACAGACGAGCACCTGATAGTACACATGGTCCCAATGGCGAGCGATTTACCTGTTCGACAAGGGGAATGGCCTTTGCGAGGTCGGCTTCGCAGCTGGCCTGCTGCTCCGAGACGTCCTTCTGGATCTGCGCGCATGTCTCTGCCTCGACGTTGGCCTTGTCGCTCTCGGCGGTGACCTTCTCCTTCTCCCTTCCAACCTCCTCGGCGAATGCGTCGGCCGCGACCTTCTTCTCCTCCACGACAACCTGCTTCTCCTTGAGGTCGGCCTCGAGCCCCGTCACCTTCTCCTGCGTGTCGCGCAGCTTGTCCAGACCATTGCTCAGACGCTCCTTGCGGCCCTCCACTATCTGTGTGCATTCACATCAAAAAAGGAGAGATGATACTTGTCATATCTCCCGCTCTCACCTGTATGTTCTTGTTGAGCATGGACGTGTAGAGCTTGATGAGCTCCAGGAAGGACTTGGGCGTCGAGTAGGCGTACCGCTTGTCGACCTCGAGGTAGGTCTGGGCCGCGGAGTTGACCTGATAGAAGGAGAACGGCATGAACTCGATGATGCCGTCCCGCACGGCGGGGTTCTCGCCGAGCGGCAGGGGCTCGAGGAACTTCTTGGCCACCGACCAGAGGGCCTCCTTGGGCCACGGCTGGAACCAATCGATCACCGTGCAGTTGACCAACGCCGGGAACTTGCGCGCACGCCCTCTGCAAACCACACACGCACCATCAGCAACATCGGGGTGTGTGTGGACGGCTTGCGTGAGTGACCTGAGTGAGTCGCCGACGGGCGAGAAGCAGAGTGCCATGTGTAGGTTCTTCTTGATGCGGCCGATGAAGAAGTTCCAGCAATTCTCGCGGGTGTCCGTCAGACCGGCAGACTTTGTGGCTACACAACGCAATGCCCACATATGCACATGTGTCTCCCCCCTCCCTCCCTCCCGCCCTCCCACTGCTCACCGGATCGCACAGCATTGACGATTTGGTCTTTGTCTTCGTTAGCGTACAGGTCAGCGATGTCGCCGCTGCTGAGCAGATCGTTGATGTAGACCAGGAACTTGGGGTTGGTGATCTGGCTCTCGTTGAAGAGGAAGAGGACGCCCTCATCCTTGATGCCGGCCTTCTGGTACATGGCCTGCAGGTCCGTCTTGAGGTCCGAGATGCCGTAGGTTGAGGAGATGGTGATCTGGCTGGTGGTGTAGGACGAGATGAAAGAGGCCAGCCGTGAGAGGGACTGCTTGCCGCTGCCGCCCACGCCCACCAGCAGGGCGTGGCCGCTAGACGAACTGATGATGCGGTTGATGCGGCACACCTGCACACACACAGGGAGAGAGATCAACCATGTGTGTTTGTATCTGTCGATGTATGTGTCTATTCGTCTGACGTGTTTCATGGCGTCTTCGAAGAGCACCAGGTCCATGGCCGCGTTGGTGTCATTGTACTCCTTCAGCCCCTCCTGCAGCAGCTTGCTCAGGTCGTCTATCGTGGCAACCTTGTCATAACCTGACAGACAGACAGACAGACAGACACAAACCACATCCACACCATGAGCGCACAGGGCTGCTCCCACCCCCACACACAAACACGCACATTGTTCCTGCAGCCCCTTTGCGAAGTGGCAGAAGACGAGCGGCTCGGGGTTCTTCTCGGCAAAGTACTTGCCGAAGTTGAACTTGGGGAACATCTTCTTGGAGAAGTCGGCGGCGATGGCGCGGTACTTGACCAAGTCCTCCACCGAGACCAGCCGGTCGCCGTACGTCCGCTCGCTTTCGTGGATCCACAACAGCACCAGCTTCTCAGGATCCTGCACACACACACACACACACACACACACACAGAGGGGGAGAAGGAGTGACGGGCATCTGGCAAATGGTGAGCATGGCATGGCGTGCCTGGAACTGTGCTGGCTGTGCGGTGAGAAGCCCCCCGAAGACGTTGGTAAGGTGCCTGATGTTGAACTCGTAGTGGAAGTTGGCCGCCGTCTTGCGGAAGGTGGACACCACACTGGCGTGCACGCTCAGGCCCGCCTTGATGATGACGCTCGTCTGCTCCTGCACGGGCTGCCTGAAACCCTTCTTCTCGAAGTGGCCCTTCATGAATGTGTTGAAGATGGTGAACAGGGCGGCCTGCTCGGGGAACGGCACGGCGAGGGTCCAGAAGTGCCGCTGCAGCCTTGGGTTGATGTAGAAGGAGCCGGCCGTGGGGTTCATGGCCGCGAGGTACTGGGTGTTGCCGATGTCCTTCAGAGCCATCTTGGTGCGGTCGTACCAGTGCTCGTAGTCTGACACACACACAGACAGAGAGAGCGACACAGGAAGTTTGGCTGATTATATGAGAGGGCATTTGTGTTGTGTGAGGTGCTGACCAGCGTGTTGTCTGAGTAGGGCAATAGCCGACTGAGTGTTGTAGGGGTCGAGCTGCGGCATGTTGAGGTCATCAACGAAGTATATCAGACGCAGCCTGACAGGCAAACACATGGGCAAGAGAGTACCAGCGGGCGATGTGTGTGTCTGTGTCTGTGTGTTTGTGCCTGTACTGACTTTCCGGGCGGTGCGTATCTTCTGCCGGCCTTCTTCTCCAGTGGCTGCTCCATCATCAGCTGCACACACACAGAGCAAGCACACACCAGACAGATGCATAGGCACGCCGCGTGGTGTGTGGGCAGACCTGCAGGAGGGCTGAGTCGGTGTAGAAGTTAAAGTTGATGGCGAAGGAGGTCATGTGCTCGGGGTCCAAAGCGCCAAGCAGCCCCTTAATCAGCTGCGTCTTGCCGCAACCCGCCAAGCCTATCAGCATCACCGGCGCATGCACCTGCACACACACGGACGACCATTAAGCATATTCAGCAGCGGTGGGTGAGTGGGATGACGTGTGACCTTGACGAAGGCGTTCATGAAGTATGTCATGGCGACGGTCTCGGTGGTGGGGACGGTGACGGCATTGATGGGTGTGTCGGAGTCGTACTCGATCTCCTTGACCAAATTGCCCCACTCCTCCAGCTTAGACTGACATCACAATGACATCCGACAACCAGCCACACCCACACACCACCTTGATGCGCCAGTGTACATGATGGCTCATTACTTGGTCGACATAGTAGTCGAATACAGTTCCCTTGGATGGGAATTTGATGACTTTCCATTCGTTCCTCCACCAGTTGCTGAAGCTCTTGCGGTAGTCGACGCCATCCTTCTCGGCCAGGCACCCGCCGCACGCCCACACCATGCAGAACACAAACCAGTACTCCAACGCCTCCGGGGCTGGACCCAGCAACGACTCCAGCTACCAACGACACCACAAGAGATGGTGAATGTACATTTGCGTGTGTGTTTTCCTTGCGTAGCGTACCATGTAGCAGAGCGACATCATCATGGAAATGTCGACAAGCGGCACCTGGACCTTGCAGCTGCGCCGCACGTACTTGAGCGTCTCGGGCCCGTACTTCTCAAACAGCTTCGAGAGCTGCGTCTTGGTCTCCTCGGGCCACTGCTGCCTCTGCAGCCAGCTGGTGACGTACGACCGCCACTGTGTGCCCTTGGCGTCGCTGATGTAGATGATGCCGGCACGGGAGACGGTGGCGGGGGTGGCGAAGTTGAGGTCGCGGATCTCGAAGATCATCCTCATGTGGGGCTTCAGGGGGATGCGCTCGTTGGAGGCGAGGGTGAGGATCTTGTTGTCGTCCATCACACTGTTCATCGACTCGATCCAATTCGCATCCAAATCACCTGCACACAAGGGACGGACGCATAGGCGTGTTCTGTCTCTGTGCGTGGGGTTGGCATACCATCGAGGATGATCCACTTGGGGTTGGTGTCCGGGATGGTCCCCAGCGACCGCATCGTCTTGGAGAGCAGCCCATCCTTCCACTCGCGCGTGGCCATGTTGACGCACCCATACAGTTCGTCAGACGTGATCGACTTGGGGTTGATGTCCACCCAAGTCGTCTTCTTGCCCGCGTTGTCCTGGCTCTTGCCCAGCATCTTCCACACAGACGACTTGCCCGCCCCGGCAGCCCCCATGACAAAGACGCAGTGGCGGATCTGCAGCAGCTCCTCCAGCTGGATGATCTTAAGGACGAAGTCCGGCTCTGGGTTGAGGCCCGACTCGACACACGTCTTCTCCACGACGGCCTCGAACTCCATGTTTCTCTGCCGGGGCGGGTCGACGCCCGGAAAGAGATCCGTCAAGAGGCCGGTGAAGATGACCAGATCGTCTGCGACGATCTTGGCGATGTTGGTATCGCGCAGCGCCCTCATCAGCAGGGCCTGCTCCGCAAGGTCGGGCTCCGCACGTTTGAAGGCGCCGGCCACCACCAACACGGACCTGGAAAAAAGTGAAAAAGAATGACGTATGTGTGTGTTGGTGTGTGGGGTCTGTCGGCTGACTTGATGGCTCTGAGACCCCAATCGTAGTGCTGTGCCTTCGAGAGCAGGTCCCGGCTGAGGGCATAGAGGCGGGTGAACTTGCGCGCCAGAGACTTGGCCTCGACGAAGCCCTCAGCCATGAGCATGTTCTCGCAAATGAGCTCCATATCGGGCACCATCACCTACAGCACGCACCAGAGCAACCAGCATCCATGAGGGCATAAAGGAGCGAGACATGGGCGCGACGGCTTACAGTGATTGGTCTGAAGAGCGCCTTGAGACCCTCGGGCAACTCAGAGCGACCCAAGTAGCCGGGGTTCATCTGCAGAAGGAGAGAAGTCTTTGTGATGGCCGACTATGCTAATCTGCGTTTCTTCCATACGGTGATGAATGCTCCACATGTGGGGTCGAGGGCAATCTCATCACCCTGCAGCACGAACCGCTTGGCCTTGGCCTTGATGGCGTCGATGACGGCCTTGAACTGCACCGAGCACACCGACAGCACCTCGGGCACCAGACGATTGAACTCATCGAAGCAGCCCCACGAACCAGACGCCGCCAGGCCCTGCAGAGAGACACAGGGAGGTGTGGATGGTCAGCCCAGTGCTGTTTTGTTGCTTCTTCTTGCCTTGAAGATGTTGCCCATGGATTGGTAGTCCATCTGGTCGGAGCAGTTGAACACATACACAGCCTTGCCCATCGCCGACGCCAAATCCTTGGTGCTACGTCGACCAACACAACAGACACATACACTCATCCATCCGTCCACCCCTGTCTGTCGGCGCTTTCGTACGTCTCTGTTTTGCCGGTTCCTGCGGGCCCTGCGGGTGCGCATCCCATACACAGGTGGAGAGCTTGTGTGGCCGTCACGTAGATGCGATCCGTGAGTGGCGTGACGACCAGCCGCGGCCCGTTGCCGAGGTACTCGTAGCCGTACCAGAAGGCAGCATCAGCAATCGTGATGCGCATGTCGTCCTCACCTGCAGCCCGCAATCGTGACACAGCAAGACATTCTCTCTCTGTCTGCGGATGTGTGAGGGTGAATGCCTACCTACCTGTGTTCCAGTGGAATTTGAGCTGGCTCTGCCACTGGAATGACTCAGCTTTGGTGACGCCCTCGTCGAGGATCTTCTGGATGATGTCGCGGCCGTGAGTGTCCATCGTGATCAAACACATCACCTAGGATGGTGAACAGACACAGTGAGACAGAGACAGAGACAGATGGGATGCGCACGAATAGAGAGAAAGTTTGTTTGTAGGTAACCGATTTACTCGTCCTGAGTTACCTACCTTTCTGCGCATGGGTTTGGTGAGTTCTCCCTGGACCATTTTGATGAGCCCCGTGAGCTCCTCCACCTGTCGATCGAAACACTTCTGGATCGCCTGACGGCTACCTGCATCCAATGCACACACTCTCCCAGACACATGCGTACGTGTGTGTGTACGGCTGTCTCTGCCCACCGGTGGAGTGCTTCTCGAAAGCCTCTTCAACGTAGTGCACCCAGGCGGACATGTTGGTCATGAGTGTGATCTGTGCCACGGGGTCTTCGAGTATCCAAGAGGTGCGGTCCTTGCCGCTCCAGTGGTCCTTGATCGAGTCCTTGGCGTAGTGCTTGAGCGACGAACGCATCAGGCCGATGCAGTCGTCCAGGTACTTCTCAACCTTGCCCGTCAGCTGCATCGGCTTCGGGAACTTGACGAACTCCTTGCCGACACACGTGTCCATCCCTACAACACACATACAACCCGCTTATGGGCATGGATGGCTCGACTGTCTCTCTCTCTCTCTCTCTCTCTCTCTCGTGTACTGACCGAGTGCTGCTGGCCTGACTCCCTCCTCAGGTTTGTCCAGCTCGAGAGTCTCGATGGCCTGGAAGACCTTGGGCATGTGCACCATCACCTTGGCCGGCGAGTTGCCGTTAGACAGGATATCGAGCAAATCGGCCGTCGACACGAAGTAGAATCTGGGGAACGCGCGTCGCTTGCTGTCCATGAAGTCGTTGAGGGCCTTCTCGCACACTGTCAAATCCTCCTGCACCGTCTCGAGTCGCTTGAAGATGCCCTCCTCGTTGCAGAAGTCCTTGATGGACTTGACCTCAGACCCCCGCTTCAGCAGCTCCTTGACGCTCACGTCGATGCCCACAAAGCGCTCGCTCTCCTGCGGCAGCTCCCTCTTGACTTCTTCTGAGTGGATGAACAAGTTCTCGAGGAAGGACCATGACCGCTGCACCTCTGCCAGCAGCTGGGTGACCTCAGCCACGTTGGCCAGCGCCTTCTGCCAGTAGACCACCTCGGTCTCGAAGGTGGCCAGAAAGCGGGAGGCGAACATGTTCTGCACTTGGACCTGGTTGTCTTCGAGCATCTCGAAGCTCTCCTCGCCGATCTTGAGAATCTTGATGTCCGTGTCTTTGTGCTGCGTCTCCTCAAACACAACCTGAACCAAAACAGGAAGGGAAGCCAGCTGGCCTTGCTCTGCTGCGGATTGCGTGGTGTGTCTGTGCGTGTGCACATACCGCGGCCCAGTTCTCTGTGATCTTCTTGAGCGCCTTCTCCATCTTGGCCTCCTGCTTGGCCTGGTCGGTGATCTCTTCAACAGGCTCCTGGAACTTCCACAGCTCGAGGTTGTTGATGTCCCGCAGCAGCATGTCGTCCGTGACGGTCATGGTCTTGCCCACCAGCTTCATGAGGGCCGCCCAGTGCCGCTTGCGCATGGCGGGGTCGCGCAGCTCGCCGATGAGGGGCACCAGCACCAGCCACTTCTTGATCATGTCGAAGATGCCGGCGTAGGCGTCGATCTTCTTGTCCATCTTGATCTCCTTGAGCTTCTTCTGCATGTTCTTGACCTCCTCCTCCATCTCGGACGCCTGGATCATGCCCCAAGGTGTCTCAGTGAACTCCTCAAACTGCTGCAGACACTTCTCGATAAACTGCCACAGTCGACGGCTCGTCTCAAGATCGGCTCGCATCTGCATCACACACACACACACACATGAAAGCAACGGATACCCCCCAATGCAGAAGTCGTCTGTGCGTGTTGTTTCGCTGACCCCTTGGAGAATGCCCTCAGAGGCCTTGACCTCCTCGGGGTAGTCGAAACTTTGTGCCAGGTGGCTCAACTCCTGAACAGCACAGACATGACAGACAGACAGACAGACAGACAAGCACTGAATGTCGGTGTGGGTTGTGCCCAGCCCACCATCCCCTCCACTGACCGCCAGGTGTGCGTCGTGGTCGTTGAGTGACTCCTCGAACTCGTCGATTCGTTTGAGCGACCCCTCGACGCCCGTCTTGTAGAAGTAGAAGGACTCGGCCTTCATCGACTGCTGGGTCTGCTGCAGCTCGGTCTGAAACTGTGCGATCTTCTGACGCGTCTTCTCCGCCTCCTGAGCCACGTTGGACGCTATCTCCTTCTCACGCTTCTTGGCCGAACCCCTGCATGAAACAAGAAGCGGGTCTGTCGTCAGTCCTCTCCCTCTCTCTGTGTGTGTTACTTGAGGCTTTCGATCTTCTCTGAGAGCGCCGTCACCTTCTTGAGGTTGCTGTCGGCGGGGAGGCCCTCCTTGTCAAGCTCATGCAGTGTCTCCTCCAGCACGTCCAGCTCAGTCCTGAGCGCGTCGGCCTGCTTCTCCATTTCACGGATGTGCGACCGCACCTTGATGAGGTTCTTGGTGTCGCCCTCCTTGACAGAGGCCTTGATGCCCGCCTCAGTGCTCTTCTGGAAGGTGTCCAGCTCACCAAGCGCCTTGGCCACGAAGGCGCCCACCACAGGGCCGGCCATCTCGTTGGCTCTGTTCTTGGCCTTCTCCACGAAGGTGGCCTCGAAAGGCGAGCCGCGGATGGCTCTGAGCTTCTCTTCCTCGTCAACGTAGAAGACCTTTATCGTCACCTCGCCCGCTGCGGGGGCCGTGTATCTGACAATGTACTTGCCGGTGTCTGGGTCCTCGAACTTGTGCTCCAGATTCTGAGCCTGCATGAATGAATGTCACAGATGATTCATGTGTGGATTGGATGTGTGTGGACGTGACGTCTCATGTGGTGGGCTGGTTAGGAACGCACCTCGTCCTGGTCTGGCAGCTTCTGCGTAATGCGGACAGTGAACTTGTCGCCGCCCGACTTTCTGTTCTCACCCTTCTCGTTCCGCGCCTGGATAACAAACATGGTCTCGACGCCCATTTGAAGCTCCTGCGAGAGCCGTCATCAATCGTGGCAAAAGACACCAGCAGCCATGGTCATGTGCATGTGCACCTACGTGTCAGTCTCACCTCGAGCAAGCCAGGTCCGAAAGCGAGTGACTTCTCGGCCACGGTGTTCATGAAGTAGTCGAAGGTCGTGAAGGTTGTGGTGAAGTCCTTGTTGCCTATCTGCACGCGGACCTCGCACGTCTTGTGGCCTACATCAACAGGCGGCAAAGGCGTGTCGCCCTCACGCTCATGTGGCCAGCCAGCCTACCGATGGTGTGTTTGACGTTCGGCGTCTCGCATGTGATTTCCTTTGACGACACGAAGGTGGCCGGCACGTCGATGGTGTGCTTGTGGTGGATGAAGCGCACCACTATAACGCCATCAATGAAACCAATGCCCTCAATCGTCACCTTCGTCATGCCTACACAGGCGAATGTGTGTGCACTCACACACATATGCATGTAAGAGCATCGGGTTTGCTGACCTGTTACCGGCCCCAGTGCAGGCTTGATGGATGTGACAGCATAGGGAGGCCCGACAATCGCACCCACGTTCAACGCCCACGCATCATCAAGCCACTTGTTAGCCCTGAAAGAAAAAAGAAAAGAGGCCCGCAGCTCAGTCAGACACTCTCTTTCAGTGACTGACCATCCTCCAAAAACGACAATTTTGCTTTCGTCCGGCTCATAGCAAATGGCGGCATGCTCCCTCTGGCCGGGCAGGATGATGTTGTCCTGCTGCTGCAGCTGCGCCCCTGCCTGAGACATGACGCTTGACCTGGCACCCGAAGTGGACTGCAGGTCCATGCCGCTCTCGCGGCGCTTGGGCCCCTTGGGGTCTTCCAGCTGAGGATCAGACCAGTTGAATTGCTCACCTGTGCAGAGACAGAGGAACTGTGCAATTTCAGACCTTTTGTCTCATCCATAATGCGTGGTTCTATACATACCGAGGTCGAGTACGCCAGTGTTGTTCTCATAGCTGCCGAAGTTTCTCTGCGCGCCGTCCTGGAACTCGCCGGTCGATCCGCCGAAAACAAAGACCTTCCAAGAGGGGATGGCTTCGATCAGCATGTAGCTCATGTTCCATCGAGGCGGCGAAGTGCCCCAGGGCAAATCGACGTCAGACCTGACCACAACAGATGAAGGGACACGATGCACAGCGCCTTTCGTTGTGTTGTCGACGTACCAGTCCTTCTCCTTGAGATCAAGCACAAACAGGTCGTTGAACTGCGACTCGGTGTTCCATCCGCCAAAGAGATAGAGCTTGTCATCCTTGATAAAAGACACGTGACCAGCCCTGCGGGACACAAACAGCACATCACGCCACCTCTTTGTCTGCAGACGCACCCTCCCATTTACCTGGGTGGCGGGGGGTTGCCAGTGCACTGCAACTCCTCCCATGTGTCATCCTTCATGTCCTGTGCGCACACACGCACACGCACACACACACAAAGCAGAGCAGAGCAGAGCAAAGCAAAGCAAATGATCCACCCACATCAGAGGCGCACTGCACTGACCAGCACGAACACGTCATTGAACGACTTTCTGGAATAGCCCCGGCCGCCATGGCCGCCAAACACCACCAACCGGTCGACAGCATTGGACTTGGCCCCGTTCTCGTCTGTGCCGCTGTGCTTCCACAGGGTGCAGGTGTGGTTGTATCTGGGCGCAGGCACGTCGAGCAGTGGCTGTCCGTCGGGGCCCATCTCTCCGTCGTTTGGCATGATCAGGTTGACAATGTCGCTGTGGAACTGCTCTTGTTCGTTCATGAACATGGTGCCGGACCGCTGTGAGACCGATCCGGCTTTTCTCAGCCTGAGAGAGATGCACACAGACAGGCACGCACATATGCTCAGGGTGTTGTAATGACCTCTGACTGTCCAGTTTGTTACTTTGCCTTTTCCGATGATCGCTTGCTGCCTTTTTTGCCGCCCATCGGGATGTTCTTGGCGGCAGCCATGGCCTTCCTGGCACACAAACGAATGAACACATCCCACGTCCATGCCTCCATGGAGAGCTCCGTGATGCTCTAGAGGAAGCGGCCACATACATGCGGAGCGACGGCGCAAGTCCATCTCCCGTGCCCTGTCTTTTGAAGCCGGCCGACCCCTGTCTCGAGAAGGAGTGGCTCTGGGAGCCCTGCTGCTGCTTCGCGTGGGCACCTGCGCGCCACTGAAGCCTCTTAAACTCAATCTGACTGCCTACACACACGTACACACACACATACACACAAACGACGAAGAAGTGATCCCAGTTGTCATGCGCTCCTTCCTTTTGATCTTGCCTGAAGCGTCGAGGATGTATCCGTCGTTCATGCAGTGGAAGGGCGTGCAGCTCTGCAGCCCGCCAAAGATGAGAATCTTGTCTCCGCACGACAGCAGAGTGGCCGTGTGCAGCGTGCGGGCCGACGGCTTGGCGTTGTTCTCCGGCACCTCCAGCACCTCCCAGTCAAACCCAGCTGACCACAACACAAAACCCAGCACAACACAGCCAAACACAATCCTCTGCCACACAGCGGCCATGGCACCCACCTCCCTGCGAGAGATTGAGCCGGTAGATGTCATTATTGGGTATGGGCGCGCCACGTGCGTCGGTGCGTCCGTCCATTCCACCAAAAGCAACGAATCCGCCGGGGATTGGCGACAGGGTGTGGCCCGACCGGCCGCTCACCTGCACCGCACCCTTGTTCTGCAACTTGGTCCAGCAATACGGCTGCGGCTGACACACACAAACACAACAGCAGCACAAGCGCAGGAAACCAGGTGTGAGCGCACACTCCGCGCGTGTCTCTACGCATCCCCTGCTCCTTCGTTGGTTCATTTGACCGCGGAGGGAGAACACGATGATCTCCCTCTCGCTCTGTGTCGCCTTTCTTACCATCTTGGCAGTGTGCGGCGCAGCGCAAGCTCCTGTTGAACCTCACAGCGCTTCTCTCTTGTGCAAGTCTCGAATGCAATGGGGGCAAGGAAGCCCCCACTCTGCATGTGAGCTCGCGGTTTTGCCAATCTGCAGCTGATCCCTCCTTGGCAGATCTCCCAGTTCAGTGACCTCCTCTTATCGCTCTCTACTTGCAGTATTTGGGAGCTCCCGCCAGCGACGTCCCGACTGCTCCCCGCATCTGCGTCTTCCCGAAGAATCCCCTTGTTCAGATAGCAGTGGCACCCTCCCGTTGCGCACAACAAACAATGACGGAGGGATCCAGCTTGCTGAAGAGGTGCCGGCGTCACGGGTGCCATGCCGAGTACAGGGAGGAGGAGAACCATGACCAGGCCTGCTGCTACCATCCAGTTGAGGACACATAGAAGAGAGATCTCGCGCGGCTGATGCAGACACAATTCGCCCTTCTGCTTCTTCTGCTTGCAGGGGTGGCCTGTGTTTCACGATCTCAAAAAGAGCTGGTACGCCTCTAATCGAGGTCGGTGATGGTCTGTGGTATCTGCCTGTGTGCTTGTTTCCGCTCAGGACGTGCTGCAACGCCTCCTCATACGACTGGGACGATTTCATGAAGATCCCAGGTCATAGGCAAGGGACGGCAAGGCTGCAGCCTGAAAGCACTCTCTCTCCTCCCGCATGACAGGTTGCGCGCGAGGCTTCCACACGACCGAGAAGCCTCAGCGCCCCGAGCCGCCCAAGCCAGCAGCACGGGCGCCGGTTGCAGCTGCCCCCTCTCCCCAGCCTGTCAAGGACATCAACGAGTACAACAGACAACAGGCGAACGAGAAGGTGGGCTACGTGAGCACTCCCTCTCTGCTGTCGTCCAAGTGCCTTGTGTTTCCGTGCGTGCAGAAACAGGCCGCGGCGGCCAATGCCGCGAGCGCTCCCGACAGACCGATGAAGCCCATGGTATGGATGTTGCCAAACACGACTGCGCGTGTGTGGATTCCATTTGTTTGCGTATGTGTCGGGGCGTATGCAGGTGACCAAGTCTGGTCGGTACAAGTGCTGCAACGGTGGGTGCAACCAGGAGTATGAGCCAGACGAGAACCACGACACCGCTTGCAGGTCAGCCACAGCCACAGACACCAACCCCAGCGGAGGGCGACCATGAGCATCTGTGTGATGAAATGTGAAGGTATCACCCGGGCAAGCCGATCTTCCACGACTTGAAGAAGTACTGGTCGTGCTGCAGCAACATTGTCAAGTACGACTGGGACGAATTCATGCAAATCGAACCATGCGCCATAGGTAGGTCACCACTTGACCAACTGACTCACTCACTCACTCACTCACTGACCCATTGCGTGTTGGCTGCAGGTCGGCACAATCCCAAGATGGTCCCTGCCTAACGCGTGCAGGGTTTGTGCAGTGCATGCAGCCCGTCGAGACTGTTTACAAAAGTCGAGATTCTTTGTGTAAATGTTGATAAAGGTTCCCCTCTCGCTTTCCCGCGCTTTCGTCCATTGAATCAGCCTCTTTTGAACGGATTTCGCTCGCGTGTGCATCACTCTATCGGACAGAATGGTCAGTCGAGAGGGAGCGTCACGCACAGCAGAGGTGACTCGCTCATCCATGGTGGTGCATGAGTGATGTCGGTGCAGGCGGCTCAGTGGGGACGCCCCTACACCTCCTCTCAGTTCGCAGGCAAGCAGCTGACAGAATCCCCGCAAACAAACGGCAAACAGGCTCGTTTGCTTGTCGTTGCTGCTTCAGATGACGACCCCATCGAGGATCTGCCGGAAATGCCGTCGTCGAGTGCCTCCTCCTACCAGCAGCAGCAGCAGCCGCAGCGTCACCTCGCCAACCCGTTCGGTCACATCGCCACCCGACCCAACGCACACTGGTCCAAAGCATCCTCACTCACGCGAGCAAGCAACACAAGCACCACTCGTGGGCAGCAGCAGGGGCACCAGGGGCACCGTCCAGGGGCGGCGATGAGTCGCTACGGCCAGAGCAGCTACGGCAGCAGCGGCCCGTCGGCGCAGGCAGCCGCTCAGACGTCGCTCGTGTGCGTGTCGCAAGCTTTGCCGCCCAGGATGAGCCACATCTTCCCATACTCACACTTCAATGTCGTGCAGTCGGTCAGCCACAAAGAACACATGGATGGGCGCGGCGCATGTGGGTGGGTGTGGGGGATTGTGTGTGTGTTGTTCTTTCATGCAGGAGTGTTTCAACGACGCGTTTGGGAGCGACAGCGATCTGGTGGTGGCGGCGCCGACGGGCAGCGGCAAGACGGGCGTGTTGGAGCTGACGATGCTCAGGCTCATCCACACCAACCAAGACCAATTCAACGGCGGCGTCGACGGTCAGCCCACCACACCATCACACCACCCACGCAACGTGGACACCCCTGCACGTGTTTGTGTGTGTGTGTGTGTGTTCTGTGTGCAGTGCCCAAGATGCTGTACATCGCACCCATCAAGGCCCTCTGCAGCGAGCGGATGCAGGACTGGCAGCACAAATTCGGCGGTGGGATCACCAATCCACTCTTTCGTCCATCCGTGTCTGTGTCTGATGTGTCTGTGTGTGGTGTGCTGCTGTGCTGATGGACAGAGTTGTTGGGTCTGACTGTGTTTGAGGTGACGGGCGACACGGACGACAGCACCACATCCTTCATGGTGCGTGGCAAAACATGCATGCACATACACAAATGCACGCAGACGCAGATGGTCCATCCATCCATTCATTCTTGTGTCGTGTGTGTGTGTGTGTGTGTGTGTGCAGAATAACCTCTACATGGCCCATCTGCTCATCTGCACCCCCGAGAAGTGGGATTTCGTCTCACGCAAGACGCCAGACATCATCAGCCACATCAGGTGGGTGCCCCACGACACACAAAAGACGCACACACACGCCTTTCTGCACTTGTATGTGTTCTTTGTGTGCACTAAGGTTGGTGTGCATCGACGAGGTGCATCTGCTGGGCAGCAAAAGGGGTCCCTGCCTTGAGGCCGTCGTCGCCAGACACATGATTCAAGCAAAGCCGAGGTATGTGTGATATCAACACACCACACCACACCATACACCCCCAGCACCCTCCTCCTCTGTTTTGTTCGGCAGACTCGTCGCTGTGTCTGCAACTGGTCGCGGACACAATGCGCACACACCAACAACACGCACACCTGTGTGTCTGTCTGTCTGTCTGTCTTGCCGTCAGTGCCCAATCTTGATGACGTGGCGTCGTGGCTGGGGTGTGGTGCGGACCCGGGGGCCACGATGCGCCGCTTCGACGCCACATACCGACCAGTGCCGCTGCAGCACATCGTCTATGGTACGTGCACTTACCGTACTCCCCCTGAACACACGCGATGGATGCAGCCCCCCACCCCTGTCCTGTCACACCAGGCTACCCACCGGCCAAAGACAACAACGGCTTCCTGTTCGAGAGAGGACTCAACCAACACGGTATCCTACTCACGACAACACACGCCGGCAGGCAGGCACTCAGAGGCAGGCATCTCCCTCTCACCCGTGTGTCTGTGTGCCGGATGTGTGCTGTGTTGATGTCATGTGTGTCAGTGCCTGAGTTGATCCGTCGGCATTCGTCAGGCCGGCCGTGTTTAGTCTTCTGCGTCACCAAGAAGGGCTGCGAGCAGACGGCCGCGGCCATCAGAGACAGCGGCCTGCAGCTGGTGCAGAACGACCACCACCGACACGCCGCCGCACAACTCGCCTCACAGCTGCCAGAGAGCATCCGCAAATGTGCGCACGGGGGCAAGGAGGCAGGCAGGGGACATGCTAGAGCCCGCTCTGTGTGCATGTGCATGTGTGTGTGTGGTCCATCTCATCTGCAGATGTGTCTGCGGGAGTCGGGGTGCACAACAGCGGGCTCAAGCCAGAGGAGCGTCGCGTGATTGAGGACGGCTTCGTGCAGGGCACCCTCCGAGTGCTGTGCACCACCACCACACTCGCACAGGGCGTCAACCTTCCCGCCCACCTGGTCATCGTCAAGTCCACTCTCGCATACAAGGGCGCCGGCTATGTGTAAGCAACGACCGAACACCAACACCCACTTCCCCCTGCCCTTTTGTGCTATGCAGTGACTACGATGACCTTGAGATGCTGCAGATGATCGGCAGGGCGGGACGGCCGTGAGTGTGTGTGTGGGGGGGGGGGGCGGGGGGATGAGGATGTGTGGGCACATGCATTGTGTGTTGTGGGTGTGTGGTGTGGGTGTGTGGGTATCCAGTCAGTTCGACGACAAGGGCGTGGCGGTCATCATGTGTCCGAACAACAGCAAGGCCAAGTGGGAGAGGATGGTCCAGGGCAACGTCCTGCTCGAGTCGTCGCTGGCCTCCAACCTCATCGAATACACCAACACAGGTCGGATCTCCCACACACACATCCGTCCTGCGTGTGGATCGGTGTGTGTGTGTGTCAGAGATCCATCTGCGCACCATTGATTCGTACGAGACGGCCAAACAGTGGATCCGCACCACGTTCCTCTACGTCAGAGCCAAGCGACAGCCGCAAAAGTACAGCCAACCCACGCAGACCAACAACCACACACACACACACACGTCATCACCTGTTCCTCCGCCCCGCTCTCAACACGCATGCACATCTTGTCAACCAGGTATGAGATGCGCTCGCCAATCGACCCGGCGATCGACGCCAAAGTCAACGAAACCATCGAACAGGTCACTTACACAAACACCACCCCAGACGCACATCCACGACGTCAGTCACCTCGCCTGTGTGTCGGGTATGCAGTTGCATGAGGTCGGGATGATTTTGGTGGATGAGGCGAGCGGGGCCATCAGCAGCACGGCACTCGGCAGCGTCATGGCAAAGCACAGCATCAAGTTCGAGACCATGAAGAACTTCATCCAGATCGACCCGAGGGAGGTCGAGGCCAACTCTCCAAAGGTCGAGAAGGGGCTACTCGAAGCCATCAGCCAAGCCACAGAGTTCCTGGTAGCCCCACCACGACCCACACCCACATACCCAACACACACACCTTGGTCGCTGTCCTGTGTGTGTGTGTGTGTGTGTTCAGGATTTTCCCCCCAAGCAGGACCAGCGCAAACCCCTCCGCACACTCGCCACCAACTGCAGGTCCATACACAGGCAGACCGCTCTCACTCCCCGCTCACCCCGACTGTGTGTCTGTGGTGGTGTGGGTGTGCAGGTATCCGTTGAAGAATCAGGCCATCGGTGATGCGCACAAGAAGGCGTTCGTCATGCTCCAATGCGCACTCGAGCACACCAAGGTCAGCACAACCAAATACACACACACACATGAATCATCTTACTGATGGGTATGTGCGTGTGGATGCGACCTTGGTGTGTGCAGACGAATCAGTGGGAGCTGTCGGCGCAGTTCGATCAGATACGTCGGCTGGCCGAGCGACTCTCCACGGTGGTCGAGACGGTTCTCACTGAAAAACCGTACAACGGGGTGGCGCTGGCGGAGGCAATAAAGGTCGAGAGGGCTCTCAAATGCAAGATCTGGTCAGCCACCCACCCACACACGCGCACATATAGAAATGGGCGACGAGTCATTGAGTGAGTGCATCAAGTGCCCCCCCTGTGTGTGTGTGTGCAGGAACGACTCCCGCGACCTTCAGCTGACACAGCTCGACGGCATCGGGTTGGCCTCCCACCCCCCCACACACATTCACGCCTTCACGCCGCCACACCACACCTGCCCGTCCCTCGTGTGGATGTCTGCAGTGACGGTTTTGCCGCCAAGCTGCACGGCCACCGTGTGTCGACGCTCGACCAGCTGGCCCGATGCGACTCGTCCAAGCTCAGCATGATGCGTGAGGGCCAGCACACACACACACATACACACACACACATACACACACACCGATGAGGCGTGTCGCGATTCCATATAGGTGAGGGCCAATTGTCCCTGCAGCGACTGACTGAGTGGAGCAGGACGGCCGCCAGCATCCCCCGATACGAGGTCACCATCGAGGTCCAGCAGCAGGGCCGCACCGCACTGGTCACACTCGAGCCAATGGACGTCATGGTACGCACCAGGAGAGAGGGGCTGTGGGGCACCCCAATCAATGCATGTATGTGTTGTGTGTGTCGTTCGTATGTGTGTGTAGCCATCGTGGCAGACGGTGGCAGGCTTTGAGCCGCAGAGGGCCACCTACCACCTGCTGCTGTACTCGGACGAGCGCCAGCTGATCTTCAATCGCAAGATCGCCGTCAACGCCGCCAACTACGGCCAGCCCCTGACCTTCACCGCCGCGCTGCCCACGCCCGTCGGCCAGAGTGGGTGCATCTTTGGACAACTCATCTGCAGAGAATACATCGGAATCGGTCCGTCACACACACACACACACACACTCTCCCAGACTGCAAACATGTATGCATGGATGGATTGGTTCAGATCGTGCTTTTTCGTGGCCCAAGGGTCTGACGAGTTCGTCGCTCGTGCAGCTGGAGCCGACCGCCCAGGCCAAACCCAAAGCCAAGAGCAGCAAGAAGAGAAACAACAACGACGTAACCACACACATACACACACATCCACAGACAGAGAGGCGTGTGCATGTGTCGGCATGTGTTCGCCTGTGTGTGTGCAGTCCAAGTCGGCGGCTGGTCGCCCTGCCAAGCTGCAGCGCACGCTGAGTCCCTATCAGCAGCAGGCGGCAGCTGCACCTGGCGGCACCACGGGCAGCGGATGGATCACAAAGAAGGCGCCGCCCAAACCCAAAGCCAACATCGCCACGCAAAGCATGAACAACACCAGTACCAACACAGGTGTGTATCCACACAAGACACCTGTCGTCATGCAGCGGCCCTCGCCATGTGCACTTGTGTGTAGATTTCTCCGGTGCAGCGGCTGCTGGTGGGGCTGGTGGTGGTGGCATTGCGTCTGGCCAGGGCATCGACAGTATGGCCACCTGGCGGTCATTGTCCCGCAAGCACAACATGTCCAGCGGGTCGACGGGCAGACTCACGCCCCACGACACACCGAATGCCATGACCACGACGGCCAGCGACCAGCAGCCAGCAGAGCCCCCCACGCAGCCGTCGACCGCCAACATCGCACGTGTGTCCCCGGGCGTGCCCAGGCCATTGAACAGACCATCCGTACGCAAAGACGGATCCCACACTTGATTGATTCATGTGGTGGATATGGCTCATGCCTGCCTGTGTTTTGGTGTGTTGTGGTGTGTTGCGTCTTGCAGATATCTCCCCGTTTCCCTCGTTCTGGTGCTGGTGCTGGTGTCAGTCGTCCGGTGCCTCGCCCGCCGCCCGTCAATCGTAACCCCAACGCACCCGTCATGATGCCTCCCCGCCCCCCTGCCCAGCCGCCCTTCCCACACAATGTCGCCAGGCCGTTCGTGAGACCCCCGCCGCCCACTTACGGTGTCGCCAGGCCGTTCGTCAGACCCCCACCGCACAGACCGGTGCGCCACCAAGACACGCATACATGGATGGACTGATACCGGCTGGCATCGTGTGTGTGGGGTGTCGGGGTATGTGTGTCAGGTGTGTGCGCCTGCTGCTCGTCCTCGTTGCGTGTCTGTGTCTGCGTCGAGTCGGTTCGGCCCGCCCGCCCCCCATCAGAATCATAATGCCCCCATGCACATGAGCACCACCACGACTACCACCACCACCACCAGCACTCGCAGCAGCTACGCTGCCTATGCCATGCCGCAGAGCTACAACCCGGTGATGCACCAGCCGGCGGCCAGCCAGCCATTCGACCCGTACGATGACGACAACACAGAGATGGACACGGGCATCGACACCCACACCCACACGGCCGACGACATGATGACGCAGCAGCCGCAGCCGGGTGTGAGCGGTGTGGGCGGCGGCATGGGGATGGGTGTGGGTCTCGGCGTGGGAGCTGAGCATCAGGGCGGTACAGCGGACATGGCCATGTCCCAGTGTGATCAGCTCTTCACAGATATCTGGGAGTGACTGACATGTGAAGGACACAAGAAGAAACAGCCAACAGCCATGCAGACAGACAGACTCAGATGGACACATGGATGATCGAATGAATGCTGTCAGTGGTCCAAGTGAGATGGATGGATGTATGGATGAGTGAGTGAGTTGATGGCTGATCGATCGCATATACTCGATGGATGGACATTCGCAGACACAGACAGACACTGATTAACGTCGCAATTCATTCAATTGAATTACATGATGGATGGTGATTTATTGAGATGTGGTCCCGTACATACATGCACACGTTGCCCGTCGACAAGACGCCCTCTCAAATAAGTTAGTTGATCGGTTCCCAAATAAGGGGAGCTACGGATGCTGCAGCGAGAGATAGGTCGTTGCTTGTACGCTCATTGATGAGGTAGTCTATTCACATATATGTCTCTCCCCTGTCTCCCTACGGCAGGAAACACAGCACTATTCACTATTCAATCGGCAGCCAACCACTTCCCGCCCTCCCTCCCTCCCTCTAGCCCTCCATCACTGGATGCTGTCCTCCGATAGCGTCTCGTCACCACTACTGTCGTTGCTGTCGGTGCCATCAGAGCCGACGTCGGTGTAATTGTCGATGTCAAACAAGATGTTCCAGTGAATGGCGAGAATGACCCTCGACTGAAGCAACATCACACAGACAACATCCACCAGACGCGACAACAGCCGTGCATTTGGAAAGACATATCACGCAGACGGACCCGAAGTCGTGTGTCTTCGTCGGCATGGTGGGCCAGCTGCGAAATTCTCCTCTGTCCGTCAGCCTGCACACACAAGAGGCCGACAAGCAGATGTTTGTTTTCGGCTCTCTCTATCGCCTGTGTGTGACTCACCTGTTGTATGAGATTGCGGTAGGGGTTCTGTGCGAGGCCGTCGCGCATCTGCACCTGGTGACCCACACTGCACAGAACCACAACACACTTGTTGCTCATGGCACAGATGCGTTGTTGTGTCGTGACAGGAAGGATACATTAGCAGGTTCTGGATTGCTTTGAGCACCCTGGTGAGTATGGCGACCTCAGTGTTGTCGTCGAGTAGATCACACAGCGGCCCGACGCAACCGCAACTAACCAAATACTCAACCTGAACAGCAATAACGACAGACAGCAGTGCAGGATGCCGTAAGCTGCTCTCCTGGTCCATCTGCTGCTGCGATCCTTGTCTCATCCCATTGATGACGGCCCACAGTGCCTCTCGCTTGACGCTCGGCTCATCAGTGGTGGCCATGGTGATCAGTTGCGGCACCACATCACCATCGATGACCGCCTGCCGCTGCTCACCCGAACCTAACCAGACAGAGATGCGCCGTTGTCCCCAATGTGTTGTTTGTGTGTACGCGTCTTCCTGCCTTCATGGACCTACCTGCCATGATGTTGGAGATCGCCCAACAGGCCTCCCTGCAGATATTCTGCCTGGGTGACGACAGCAATGCCTTCAGTGCAGGAATGGCACCACACTCGATGACGGCCTGTGTCTGCACAGCATTACCTGAGGCTCCCCAGACAAACAGACACACCAACATCAGCGCATCTAAATCTCTCTCGTCAGCCCAGCCCTCCGTGTGTGCATGTGTGTACCCGCCGCGATGTTGCCCACAGCACGTAATGCAGGCACCTGAATCTCATTGCTGTGGTGGCCCATCAGCTCCACCAATCGGCCGCACACACCACTGTCGAGAATCACCTCGATGCCCTCGTCGCCTGCCCCGTTTGTGAAGTGCGACAGCACCCTGCATCCCCGTCTGAGCACTTCAGCGTCTTGTTCAGGCGTCCTGATGAGCTCTGCCACCACCGACACCACTTTCGACACCAACTCGAAGGGGCGAGGGGGCTTCTGGCTGAGGTTCGAGAGTGCCCAGGTAGCGGTGCGCATCATTGATACATTCTCGCTCTCATGACGCAGCACCTTGACCAGTGGCTCCATGACGCCCGCCTCCAGCACCAGGTCGCAGGAAGATGAGGCATCCCCCGCAATGGCGTTTGGCCCGTCGCCGGCGATGTTGCCCAAGGCCCAAAGAGCCTGGTGGCGCACATCATCATCAGGGGACGACAGCAGCTGCACGAGGGGCGGGACGGCACCCGCATCAACGACGGCCTTCGTCTGTTCCGAAGTGCCCGAGGCGATGTTGGTCAGCGCCCACGCAGCCTCGTATTGCACCTTCGGCCGGCTTGAGTCGCCGAGAACGGCCACCAGTGGCTGAATGACGCCCGCGTCGATGGCCTCCTGGATGGGCGGCTCGAATGTGGTGCACAGCAGCGTGTGGACTGCCGTGGCGGCCTCCTGTTGGATGGCTGCATCGCCGCTGTCGAGTCCGACGGCAATGACGGCCAGAAGAGATTCGCTGACACCATTCATAAGCCCGTTTCGGGAGCAGACGATGCTGCAGAGGGCACTCGCCACGTAGACGCGCACATCGAGATGCGGGGACGAGAGCTGTTGCAAGAGAGCGGCCACTGCAGCAGCGTGCTCAATGACGACGTCAGCCTCAGCCGCAGCGATGGCGGCCAGGCATTTGGCGGCCTCGATGGCCGTCCAACGGCAAGAGCTGCTGAGAAGTCTGACCAGCACCGGGATCAGTGTGGCGTCGCCAGCCGCCACGACGTTCTCATCGCCTTCAGCCACAGTCAGTCGTCGGTGCAGCTCGCGGAGGGCATTGATCTTGCTCAGGGAAAAGTGGCTCGAAAGACGCTTGATGAGTTGAGGAGTGGTCAGCTGCGTGAGGTCCGGCCATATGAACGACCAAACGGTCGCCCAGACGGCACTGAAGAACGACATCACTCTGAGGCCGAAAGGTGCGTATGAGTCCGTCAGTCGTCGTCAACCGCTGATCTGCCCGGATCTTGACGAGGCGATTTGGCGATGATGATGTAAGAATAGGGGGGAGAGAGTCGGGGAGAATGGTGAAGAGAGGATCTGCCGGGCGGTCAGTCCCGGATAAAGGATTAAGTCAATGCAACGTAAGGTCTGTGGATTTTGTGGAGAGTCCACGTAGGACATGTAGTATGCGTCAGTCCATCCTGTCTGACGTCCTGTCCGCCATGGCCTGTCTCATGGAACGGACAAAGACTCAAC